CTGCCTGCATTATAAATCTACCGTACCTAACAACCATTCTTGATCTGAATTTCACTGCCTGCATTATAAATCTACTCCACCAACATAGCGAGAAAGCAACGGTGAGTGGGTCAATGAGCTAGCATGAAGAGACAAAGCACACATAAACATGGCCGTACCTCCACACAATCCTGCAGGAAGGATTTTATGTGAACACAATCAAAGCATAGGCTTCATCCTCCTGTGTGCCCTGTTGTGGCCTCTGCCAGATGGACAACTCATATTATGATGGTCAAACTATCATAGGAATATTGCTTTTAGGTGTAATGGCGCTTTTAGGAAACTGAGCTGTTTTGGCAGAGCTTTGCACTCTCTGAGCGCTGTCAAGATGGAGACAGTTTACACTATGGTGACTACAGTGATAGTATCAGAGTATGCAAATTTTAAGTGAATTTGTTCAGTTTAAGACAAACATAATAAAATTTTACTTCAATTAAGTGAATTAAGTGAATTTTAGGAAATTAAATACCTGAGGATTTGCTACCAGTTGTAACAATTAGCTCTGCAATTATCAATAATTGATTAAGGACTCAATTCATTTTGATTACCTAAATAATTAATTTTGTCAATAACATTTCACATAATGGCAAAAAAAATTCAAAAATCCATTACAATCTCACACAGACCAAGGTGAAACTTTAAATAGTTTTTTAAGAGCAACAAACAGTCCAGGCACAAGAATAATCAAATTATAATATCATTAAAAACAGGAAGGCAGCAAATCCTCACATATGAAGAGGCTGAAACTACTGTTTAGCATTTTATTTGATAAATGACTTAAATGACGCATTGTTTATTAAAATTTCTGATAAATTTTCTGTCGATTGACTAATTGATTCAATGACTAACATTTCAACAAAAATTAAAACTTAATTAAAGTAAAATTTAATTGTGCTTGTCTTAAACTGAATGAAACCCAAAAACACTTAAGTTCAGAAAGTGTGAGTTGACTAAAATGCAGCAAAAATGACTTGCACTCATTCAGCGATTAGCAGCTGTACCTGCAGGAATCACCATGACAACAGAAGGTACAAGTTTAGCATCAGTCTGAGCTGCAAGTTTACCGGGGTACGGACCATCTACCTCCTCTGCACTGTAGTCTTTTAAAACCTCTATCACCCTCCCCCTCCCCTGTCATCTCCTCATTTTCCATCTTTTCTCCCTTCTTTTCTCCCTGC